CCCACTTCTGGGGGAAGGTTACTGCAAAATCCCATTCCCTCCCTACCCCACTAACTTACTTTCCAGCTCCATTCTCCTGTGCAGGGCAACAAAAGAAGACCCAGCCAATCAGCTGGGACTCAGGAGGCAGAGAACAGATGGGGACAAGGCCAGTCAGAGATAGTATTGTCCAGTTATCTGAACTACTCAATATTTCCACTACTGGTTCTCCAGAATTGGCCAGAACCTGCTGAATACCACCTCTGGTCTATGGAGATTCTCAGTCATCCAGGTTATGGTTGTCCCAAAGGTACTTTTTTCAAGAGGCAACTGTACATTCTGAGTTTTTTTCTCTTTGAAGAAGACATTTTGCTTCTCATCCAAGAAGCTTCTTCAGCTTCGTCAGAGCTGAAGAAGCTTCTTGGATGAGAAGCAAAATGTCTTCAAAGTTAAAAAAAACAAACCAGAAAGTCCAGTTGCCTCTTGAAAAAAGCAGTTTTGGGATAATGGGTGGAAGCTTGTTAAAGAGAAATTCAACCTGGAAGGTGAAGAAATTTTCTGACAAAGAGAACAATTAATCAATGGAATAGTTTGCCTGTTGGAATTGTGGCTCCATCACTGGAAGTTTTCAAAATACATTGGGCAACCATTTCACTGGGATGGTATAAGTTCTTCTGCCTTGAGCAGGGAAGCTAGACTAGAAATTCTCTGAGGTTCCTTTCAGCCCTATGATGCCATGTTTGATGTTCTAAGTTCTATGAATACAAAGGAACAAAGTATGTTGCAAGATATTTTGTTTTTATTAAAATATCTGCTTGATTAAAGTATTTAATCAACAATTTCCTGGTTCATTACAAGCTTATTAAATAGGGTACAGAAAGATATACATTTTCAAGAAAAATATAAACCTTACTTTCTTCATCAGTAAATACAATAAAATAATGCAATCACCCAATCCATAATTTTTGCATGGTATACCATGTGAATCAAGCCAAATCCTTCCCATTCAGGCTCAAGGTTATTATTGTTTAAATGCTTTTGACGATTGCACATTCTTTACTCAATCTTTATGCAAGTTAATTCAGAACCAAATTGCACTGTTCCCATAGGAAATGTCATCCTCAGTGAAGAAATAAGGTCTTTGGGACAGGAGGCATATGGGGCTATTGTACCTTCCCCAAAATATAGGACTGTGGCTTCTCTGTTTGAACTTCGAATTTCTTTGGGTTTCTTTGAAAATCTTGGGTAGAGAAAGACGGAGCTTTGGGCTCATGTGGCATTGACTTCTACTTGATGGGGCTGCCCAAATAGTGTCTGTGTGAATGTCAAATAAGTAGAGAAACTACAACAAAGATAAAAACAAAGAAAGCAAATGCTGGAGCACAATTTGATTGGTTTTGGGTTATTCCATTCTGTTTTAGGTTTCAACTCTCCAAAATGAAGAGGCATTCTGGCAGCATGATAAGGTTGTACAGGAAACAGAAACAAGGCCATTATTAACATGCATGAGTTTGGGAAGACACTTTCAGTTGAATTAGCACATGACTAGGGCTATAGATAAGACTGATCAGTCAAGCTCCCTGAATGTGTACTTGTCCCAACCCTGCACAAAGCTACCTTTATTTCATGGTTACCTTTTATAGAAATGACGCTTTAATTGTAACATTGCTTTCGATAAATTAACAGCATGAGTTTCCTTTAGTAAAGGATCTTGAATTCTAGGACTCTGAGTGGTCTTTTCATCTTTGGACTGCTTTTCTCTAGAATCACAATAGAATAAATTACCTTTCAACATCAAATTATCTTAATTTTCCAATATTTATACATACAGTATACACAATCTCCTTAAAAAAGACTGCAAGAATTAGATGTTGATGGTAGTTTTTCAAGCAAAGATGTCACTCAGAAAAGATGAACCCTTGTGTTATAAACTGGAAAGAAGACTTGTGAGTCTTAGGTTGTTATCCACAGATATAAAGAAGCAATGCAGCTATTAATTTCTAGCTTCAAACCACTCTTTAAACTATCTGTCTGTATGCTCACCATGTTATATACAGTACTATATATATGCTCCTCTCTGTCACCCATCTTTTGAGATCTCAGAATTTAGTGTTGGTCCTCTGGTCCCTGGTTTTCAATCTATTTCAATGTCATTTGTTTTTGTTTTCAGCTATCAGGATGTTTCAACTTTCCTGAAGTCCTATAACTTGTACAACATAACATTAAAGGAATGCAATGTAGGACAAAATTAGAAAAAAAAAATGTCACCCACTTTTGATCTTAGTCCTGGATAGGAATGAGACTCCTTCACTGGATATCTTATCTCTGGTTTTGACAAGGGAACAACTGTACAAGTAGCTAAATATTTGACGTACATCAAATTAAATGGCAGCAAATTATATTGTGGATATCAGACTGTGAATGTTCCTTAGTTGTGAATTGCATGATTGATTTTCCTTGCAGGTTTGTTCATTTGTTTACACTTTTACACTAGTTTTGATTAAAAGGTCTGTTGAAAATATTTTAATTCTAATAAACTGCTCCAATTACTCAAATAAACATTGGGCTATGCAGGTTCCTGTAAGAAGCCCAATGGTCAGACTTGAAAAATTGTTTTCTGCTCCTTGAATACACACAATGGTCAGCATTCAGAGGCAAATTGCTTCAGTATATGGAATATATATTTTAACTTGTTTCAACCTTTTTCAGGTTGGAATCTCTAGAGGTTTTAAAACAAAAAGCTAATAGCCAACATGGTATTGGATGGTAAAGACTGGTAAAGACCAGTTATAATAGAGAATCCACTGAAAAAGGCCACTTCTCTTGTGGGGATGTATATAGTGTTTCTCAACCTTAGAAACTTTAAGATGCCTGGACTTCAATTCCCAGAATCTGAGAATTCTGGGAGTTGTGGTCCAGGACATTTTACCATTGCCAAGATTGTGAGATGCCAATCTGAAGCCTTCTGTGGTGACCATTATAGTATTCTGTAGCAGACCCTCAGGAGAGAATGCAGTTGAGTAAAAGAAATAATTTTGTATATACAGAACAACAGAGTTGGAAGGGACCTTGGAGATCTTCTAGTTTAGAGAATGAACAATAGCATATTGCTTTTAGATTTCTTCAGAACTTTATTTACCTCAGGCAAGCTTTTCACTTGTTGTTGTTTTTTACATCCTTATTCATAAATTTCAGATACCAAGTATGCTATCCCCATTTCTAAATATTCCTTGAAATGTATAAATGTTTTCTGAAGAGATGCTTCAGTTTATCCACCGTCACAAATGTTACTATATTTACCATTCCTTCTTGTAATAGGAGTAAAAGTGATAGATATAGGCGTTACATAAGCAGTTAAACAGTTTAAAAAATAAAGCTGCAGTTTCTCTTTCTCTAAAATCTCAAATCTCAACCAATACTTGTTCAGTTACTTTGGGCCTCATCTGTATTATCCAGGATACACTCTAAGCTCATTGTATAGTAAACTGTGATTCTGTAGGCTCAGAAAGTTTGTGCACTGATTTCAAAAGTATCAAACATCTTATTTTATAGATCATGATCAGGCAAAATGCAAAACAATGATTTTAGTCATTTTTTTTCTCATAGTAAAATAACTCTTCTTTTTTCTCATTCTATCTAGGATAGGGAAAGAATGTGACTGCACATGGTTTCTATGAATATTCCTCATTTATATCACAGTGACCATGCATGCACATATCAGACAGCATTCTCCCTCCCTCTCATTCATGCGATAAATATATGCTCTAGGACAGTGGTGGCTAACCTTTTTGGAAGTAAGTGCCAAAAGAGGAGCGTGGGCATCCGAGTGCCGCAAACCAGAAGAGCAGCTCCACAACACATGCATGTGGCAGCACGAGAAACCGGTAGCTTAGCTTTCCAGTGCACGCATGCGCACCGGCCACCTGGTCTTCTGGTTTCTCACACGCATGTGAACATGAAGACCAGCTGGCCGACATGTGCATGTGCTCTGGGGAGCTGCTCTGCCGGTTTCTAGCTCTCCTGCATGTGCAAAGACCAGCTGGCATACGAAGCATGCAATCACCAAACTGGTTCTTATACTGGTGGAATCCCACCCCTGGATGAAAGAGCAACATTTCTAAAAATAAAAAGAACAAATATAAAGTTGTCTTATTTGATCAAGGTTAAATTATAAATGTAATTCTTAATTGATTTTTCTTAACAAAGACTATCTATCAAGGCTTTAAAGCAGTGGTTCCCAACCTTTTTTTCGCCTCGCACCCCTAAAGAAATTTCACTCAAACCTCGCACCCACTGGAATAAAAATGCCAACATATAGCCAATATCCTATTATTTACCTGGACTTTTCTCGCACCCCCTGGAATATCGTCTTGCACCCCCAGATGGTGCGATCACCCCAGGTTTATTTATAGGTTTATTTATAAAAAGAGATAAGAGATAGAAAGCAGAGTGTTTTTACTGTATTTCAAAGAAAGCAGTTAGCTATTGTGTTAAAAATAAAGGATTTCAAATGTATTTCTAAATTTTAAGGTGCTTGCTGAATTAATGAGAAATGCTTTAAACTGGAGAAAAGGAAACAGAAAATGAAACTGGACTTCTATATTGAATAGTACTCTGCTGTATTTCCTCGTATTAGAGAAATAGTAAGTAATCTTTGGCCTAAAGTATGCATTTATTAAATGAAAAAGATTAAAAGAGCTGGACATCAGAAAGGTCATTCTTAATGTAATAGTATTTAAACCACCAAACGTTACTGTATGTGAGGAAAAATGTGAACTTTTTTGTATTAGCTTTACAACATTAAAACTATTAAAATTAAATTATAATTATTCATGGTAACTGAGCATTTTTCATGTTATTATGCTCTTTGTACTGAAGCTCCCTCTTGTGCTGAGAGAGAAAGAAAAAAATCAAAATAAACAATTACTGCTTTAGCTAGGCTACATTACACATCTGATTAGCCTTAAAAAGATGCAGCTATTTTTAACTGCCTACTACCTTCCCTCCTTTCCTAGAATTCTTGCTGGCTTTCACATGTCATTCCTCCAGGTTGCCAAAAATTAAGCCACCTTTGACCCTTGTGCTCCTTAAAGCTTCATAAATAGCCCCAGCAAAGAACTGCTGAGTCCCAGTTCACCCAGCTGAGTTTCCTGCCTCTTGAACTGGTTGCTCTGAGCTTCAGCCATGAAGGCTTTTCTCCTCCTTGTTGCCATCTTCTTGTTTTCCCACCAGCTAGTCACAGGTAAGGAGAGAACTAAAATGACCCAGATGGTCTAGAGGAGAAGTATACTTGAAACTAATCTTAAATGCTTTTCACAATGATTCTTTACATATTTTATTTTGGGTATTGACCACCAGTCAAAGAGAGTTAAGGGTATTTCAATCTACAAAAGTTAAGAAGGGTGTTCCCACCTCATTTTTCCAACAAGAAATGTTGCCTTCTTACATGGACAGTGCAAAGAAATAGAAGAAAACAATAGAATAGGGAGGACCACAGATATGAAAGGAACGTTTCATGCAAAGATGGGCATAATAATGTCAGGGACCTAACAGAAGCAGAAGAGATGAAGAAGAGGTGGCAAAATGACACAGAAGAACTATACAAGAATGAGCTTAATGTCCCTGATAACCATGATGGGATGATCACTGACCTCAAGCCAGACATCCTTGAATGTGAAGTGAAATGGGCCTAAGGAAGTCTGAGCAACAACCAAGCTAGTGGAAGTGACAGTAATCCACTGAGCTGTTCAAAATCTTCAAAGATAATGCAGTGAAAGTGCTACACTCAATTTGCCAGCAAATTTGGAAAATTCAACAATGGTGACAGGATTGGAAAAGGTCAGTTTACATTCCAATTCCAAAGAAAGGCAATGCCAAAGAATGTTCAAGGTATTGCACCATTGCACTCATTTCACATGCTAGTAAAGTTATGCTTAAAATCCTACAAGCTAGGCTCCAGCAGTATGTGGATCGAGAACTACCAGAAGTACAGGCAGGATTTAAAGAAGCAGAGGAACTAGAGACCAAATTGCCAACATATGCTGGATCAGAGTTCAAAATTGGGAAAGAAGTCTGGCAAGGTTATATACCCAACATCAAGATCTTTTCAATTAGTCCACTCTTCTCATTTGGTGACCAAAGTATTTGAGCTTCAGATTCAGTGTCTGTCCTTCCAAAAAACAATGAGGGATGATTTCCTTTAGGATTGACTGATTTGATCTCCTTACAATCCCAGCGACTTCTCCAACACCACAATTTGAAAGCACCAATTCTTTGGTGCTCTCTCCTTATAGTCCAACTCTCACAGCCATATATTATTGCTTGGAAAGCTATAGCTTTGACTCTGCAAACCTTTGTTGGCAAAGTGATATCTATGCTTTTTAATATGCTGCCTAGGTTTGCCATAGCTTTCCCTCCCAAGGAACAAAAGTTTTTTTAATTTCATGATTATAGTTGCCATCGGAAGTGATCTTGGAGCCCAAGAAAATAAAATTTGTCACTGCTTCCATTTCTTCCCCTTCCATTTATCAGGCAGTGATAGAAGTGGATGCTATGATCTTAGTTTCTAATGTTAATTTCAAGCCAACTTTTGCACTCTTCTCTTTCATGCTCATCAAGAAGCTCTTTAGTTCCTCTTCACTTTCTGCCTTTTGAGTAGGATCATCTGCATATCTGAGATTGTTGATATTTTTCCTGGCAATCTTTTGAGTCATTCAGCCCAGCATTTTGCATGATGTACTCTGCATATAAGTTAAATAAACAGAGCGACAATATATAGCCTTTTCGTACTCCTTTCCCTATATTGAACCAATTGATTGGTCCATGTCCAGTTCTAATTGTTGCTTCTTGACCTGCATACAGGTTTCCCAGGAGACAGATAAGGTGGTCTGGTATTCACACTTTTGCAATCCATCCAATCAAAGGTTTGAGCATAGTCAATGAAACAGAAGTAGATGTTTTTCTGGAATTCCCTTGCTTTCTCCATAATCCAGTGAATGTTATTAATTTGATCTCTAGTTCAGTGATGGGATTCAAAAAGTTTTGCTATCGGTTTGGTGAGCGTGTCTTGGTGGCTGCGCTTTAGCACGTGCATGCACTTTGCGTGCATACGCGTGCCAAATGCGTACTTTGCGCAGGCACAGAGGTATTCCAACTCACCTCCTGCAAGCCTCCACTCTCCCGGTCACTTCAGCAGCTGTTGCGCTGCACTCTGCCATGCCACACAAAGCAGCTGCGCTTCCAAAACAGAGGATAAAGGTGAGTATGGGACCTCAGGCGGGTGACTGAACCCAACAGCAGAGCAGTGAAGAGAACCAGCTCATTGCTGCTACCAGCTTGGCAGAACTGGGCTGAACCGGTAGAATACCACCACTGCTCTAGTTCCTCTGCTCTTCAAACCCAACTTACACTTCTGGAGGTGCTTGGTTCACATGTTGCTGAAGCTTAACTTATAGGATTTTAGCTAGCATGTCAAATGAGCACTATTGCCCAGTAGTTTGAATATTCTTTGACATTGTCCTTCTTTTGGATTGGAATGTAAACTGACCTTTTCCAATCCTGTGCCCATTGTTCAGTATTCCAAATTTACTGTAGTGCTGGAATGCAGCATGATCTTTTAGGATTGTAAATAGCTGAGCCAATATACTATCATCTCCATTATCAGTTTCTATATAATCATCAAATTTCCACAGGTGAGAATTGACTTGAATCTAGATCAGGCTTGTCCAACCCGCGGCCCATGGGCCGCATGCGGCCCAGGTCGCCTCGTAATGCGGCCCAGTGCCCACCCCAACCTTCTGGCAAGAGCCAGCAAGGAGGAGGAGGAGAGGCAGGCACGAGGCGGGATGAGGCGAGTGCCACGCCAAGCAGCAACAGAAAAGGTGGGCGCTGCCTTTGCTGCTTCTGCCCCCGCTGCCGCCGTCGCCACCTCTGCCCCCGCCACCGCCCCCCCCACCACGCCGCCGCTGCCGCTTCTGCCCCCGCCGCCGCAACTGCCGCTTCTGCCCCCCGCCGCCGCCCCCTCTGCCCCCGCCGCCACCCCCCCACCCCGCCGCCGCTGCCGCTTCTGCCCCCGCCACCGCCGCTTCTGCCCCCGCCGCCGCTGCTGCTTCTGCCCCTGCCGCCGCCGCTTCTGCCCCCGCCCCCCCACCCAGCCGCCACCACCACTTCTGCCCCCGCTGCTGCCCTCCCACCCCGCCGCCGCTGCTGCCGCCCCCCCACCCCACAAAATTTGGCCAGAAAATTAATAAAAAATAAATAATTTTTAATAAATAATTAATAATAAATAATAAAAATAATTTATAATTTATAATATAATTTTATAATATAATTATTTTATAATAATTTATTATATGTGTGGCCCAAACCAAATTTTCATCTTCTAATGTGGCCCAGGGAAGGTGAAAGGTTGGACACCCCTGATCTAGATCATAGATGCTCAAATTATGGCCCACAAGATGGATATTGGCCATGGTACGAAAACAGCCCACTGACTCAATCTATCCAGCCCATGCGCAGCCCCACCCCATGCCCCGCCCCTCCGAGCCACTGCTTGCATGACTGGCTATGCTGCCCTCATCACTCTTCCTCCAGCCATCACCCTTGTCTTCCAGCTCACGGGGGTCTGCTCATTGGGTGAAAGGCAAGGTTAAGGTAAGGCTGAAGGGTGCAGGCCAGTGGGTGGGCAGGTGTGTGGAGGAGGGCTGGCTGGCTTAGTGGCGATGACGGTGGCACAGCCACATGGTCCTTGGCCACCCCAAACAGCTGTGTTGTGGAGAGCCCAGGTGGAGATGTGAGCTGGGGGAGGGGGCTGAGTGCTACCAGACTTACCTTCCACCCCACGGGGCTTGCAAAGTTCACCACAGCTGCCCGCGAACATAAGGCTGATGGTGGGGGCAGGAGACATGCTCTGCGCCCAGTACACTCACCCAAAGGGAATGAGCCAGTGGTTAGGCAGGGACCAGAGATCTGCCTTGCCTGGACTGAATGCAGCCTTCTATCTTGCAGGGGGCCCCACCACATCTTTGTTCTGAGCTGAATGTTGTAGCCAAATTCCCTGCTCAGCTGGCATTTCAGGAAGGTGTAGCTCAGGGTAAAGGGGTTTCCCTCTGCATGAGCAGGCATGTTGCCATGGTGCTGCCTGAACTGGTGCCTGAGGCAGCAGCGGTAATTTGGTTCCTTCAAAATTAATTTCATGTCCTGTGGCTTTAAGGTGCTGGAAGAGGGAGGAAGTATTTTCTTCTCTTCTGACTGCATTTTTGTGTTCTGCAATGCGTGCCCAACACAAAAACGCAGTCAGAAAAAAAGAAAATACTTCCTCCCTCTTCCAGCACCTTAAAGCCACAGGACATGAAATTAATTTCGAAGGAACCAAACTAATATCCAACACTGAACACTCCAGCAAGAGAATAATCAAGGAAGCCATCGAGATAGAGAAACACCCCCATACCATGAATAGATGGGATGATACCTCCTGCCTACCAGACATCTGGAAGCTAGCCCTCACCAACAAATGAGTCCCAGCCACGAAAACCAACACCAGACCCAAAACAACACGGGACACCACCGCCAATCCCCCTCATCAGACCCAGGCCCAAGCCCATCCTATAAACAAGGGACAACCACCATCCAGAAAACAGACCACGGCTGCTTTGCCAGCTGTCACACACCCTGACCCCAAAACCAAACAAGCTGACACACTCCAAGAACACAGACCCAGACCCCAAACTCGAAGCCAGACTAAAACCCAGAATGCTACATCACAGCCACTCGCTCAGGACATCACATCAGAAACTTCAGGAAATTACACCACAAGAACTCAAGAAGCTGCAACACAGCAAATAACCCAGGATATCACAGCACAAGACCAAGGATACCACAGCAATAAATCTCACAAGGTCATTACAAAACCCATTACCCAAGCCGTTACTACACAGGAGGCTAATGGAAAAGAGATCAAAACACAAACAACCCAGGAGATTACAATGCAGGACCCAGAATACCACAACAAAAGAACTTGCAAGCCCATCACACAACCCATTACCCAAGCCGTTAAAACACGAGAGGCTAATGGAAAAAAGATCACTACAAAACAAACGACCCAGGAGATTACAGCACAAGATCCAGGATATCTCCACAACAAAACTCACAAGGCCATCACACAGCCCATTACTCCATCAACCGATCAAAAGGCAGCAGCGCAGCCAACCAGCCCAGCACACCAGCCCCCACCACCAGTATTTATAGAGAGACGGCAGCTCCGATCACACACTGCTTGCACTGACACGAAGCCGAAAGCACCAGCCTGAGGATGGCGAGTGGGACCTCACCGAAACGTCGCCAAGATACTCTCAATCTTACATGGGAAAAGACCCAAACATGATATGTATGTATGTATGTATGTATGTATGTATGTATGTATGTATGTATGTACATATGGTATTCAGCTTTGCTCAGGTATTTTCCCACGTCATTGTAGTTGTGCTTTTAAAGTTGTAGCAACGTTTCGTCAGAATCTCATCTGCCATCATCAGGCTTCTGTATTGTGTTCGTCTGTGACAGTTGTTTACAGTTGTTTCAGTTTAAATTTGGAGCTAGCCTATTGCTGTGCCAGAATGGTTTTTTCTTCATCCTGATTGGTTGGGAGTCTTGGTCTGTGTTTATTGGTCTTGGAGTTTTCTGTGTTCTGCTTGATTGGTGTTTCTAATATCTTCTGTCTGTTTTGTGGCTTTTTTTGTGTCTTGATTGGCTGGCAACATTGTGTTACTGTATTGGAGGCTTTTAGTGCAGCTTGGCTCCGAGTAAATGGACGACTATCATTTGTTAGGAAGTTGGGTTTCATCTGGGTGCCTGGTTGGGGTGTCTTTGAGCTGGAGGTATCAGGGGGGATCTGTTTGTGACAGAGATAGATAGATAGATAGATAGATAGATAGATAGATAGATAGATAGATAGATAGATAGATAGATAGATAGATGTTTTCTTAAGTTTTCGCGGGTACTTACATGTATGGCCTTCAGCTTTGTTCGGGTATTTTCCCACGTTTAGTGCCAAGCTGCACTAAAGGCCTCCAATAAAGTAACACAATGCTGCCAGCCAATCAAGATACAAAAAGAGCCAAAAAACAGACAGAAGATATTAGAGACACCAATCAAGCAGAACACAGCAAACTCCGAGACCAATAAACACAGACCAAGACTCCCAACCAATCAGGATGAAGAAAAAACCATTCTGGCACAGCAATAGGCTGCCCCAAATTTAAATCTGAAACCACTGTAAAAGTCTGACTCACAGACGGACACAATACAGAAGCCTGATGATGGCAGATGAGATTCTGCTGAAACGTTGCTACAACTTTAAAAGCACCACTACTATGACGTGGGAAAATACCCGAACAAAGCTGAAGGCCATATATATATATACATAGTATATATATATATGTATATACATATATACATAGTATATATATATATACATATATACATAGTATATATATATATATATGTGTGTGTGTGTGTGTGTGTGTGTGTGTGTGTGTGTGTGTGTATATATATATATTCTGAGGTTCTCGCGGGTATTTGTATGTGGATCTTTGGTTATTCGGGTTTTCTCCCGCGTAAGATTGGAAGTATCTAGGCAACGTTTCGATGAAGTCTCATTCATCATCTTCAGGCTTGTGTCTTCCACTCTGTGCTTCTTAGAGTGATGTGAGCTTGCAGCTGCTTCTTCCTTTTAACTGCTAGTGGGGGTGTGACTTGATTGGGTGGGGGCTTGGCTGTGTTCTGATTGGGTGGGGGTGTGTTCTCATTGGTTGGGGGTTTGGCTGTGTTCTGATTGGTAGGGGGGTTGGCCGTGTTCTGATTGGCTGGAGGTGTGTTCTGTTCAGGTGGGGGCTTGGTTGTGCGCAGGTTAGTCTTAGTTGCTGGGGGATTTGAGCTGGTGAGCTGTGATCTTGCTGTTTGGCTTCGAGTTCGTGGTCGTGCCACATCTTCATGGTGGGGGTCAGTTTGCTTCATGTATGGCTCGGAGGGGTTTGAAGTGGGTAGTGATGCAGCTGCAGTGCAGCTTCTGGTCCGTGGTCATGTCTCATCTTCTGTGTGGGTGTGAGTCTGCTTTTTACGTGGAAGTGTGGTGGTGGCATCTTGTGTGGCCCTGGTGGGTGTGGGTCTGGTGTCATTCTTCATGTTAGGTACTTGTCTGTTCATGAGGGCGGGTTTCCAAATGGCTGGTAGGCGGGAGGTGTCATCTCTTTTATTCATGCTGTGTGGGTGTTTTTCTATCTCTATGGCTTCTCTGATTATTCTGTTGTTGAAGTGTTCGGTTTTGGCAATAGTTCTGGTATTTTTAAAGTCAATCTCATGTCCTGTGGCTTTGAGGTGTTGGACCAGGGAAAAGGTCGGTTCTTCTTTTTTGATTGAGTTCTTATGTTCTTCAATGTGTGCACTTATTCTTCTGTTAGTTTGTCCAATGTATGGTGGGACAGGCGGTGCACAGGATTTCATATACTCCTTGGTTTTCTAACTTGGTTTTCTAACCCTATCAAGTTCTTCCCAATGAATGGGGATAGGCAGATGTTGTTTGATGTTATTAAGGTTTTGTCATAATATTTAATCTGCCTTCTAGTATAACTATGGAATTATAGGGATTTTGTCAATGCCAACAGTGTTCAGATAGTGTTCCAAATATTTTGGGCTTATTATTATTATTTGTAAAATGAATGTAAATCATGAAACATGTAAGATTTATGAGAAGAATAAAATATAATTAGTAATAATAAATACAGATTCTAAAATGCAAATGGTATTTCCCCCCATTTTTTATGCAGCAGCTGATGAAAGTGACCCTCTTGTGATTGCTTGTAAAACAAAACGTGGCTCCTGTTGGGGAAAATGTCCACCCCCTAGCGTTACTGAAGGAAGATGTCCTCGTGGTCAGGTTTGCTGTACATGGTAAGTCAACATTCTGTACCTGACTCTTATTATGCTCTAAACCAGGCTTGTCCAACCATGCGGCCCAGGTCGCCTTGTAATGCGGCCCAGTGCCCACCCCAACCTTCTGGCAAGAGCCAGCGAGGAGGAGGAGGAGAGGCAGGCGCGAGGCGGGGCGAGGCGAGCGCCACGCCAAGCAGCAACAGAAAAGGCGGGCGCCACCTTTTCTGCTTCTGTCCCCGCCGCCGCCGCCCCCCCACCCCGCCGCCGCTGCCACTTCTGCCCCCACCGCCGCCACCGCCGCTTCTGCCCCCCGCCGCCACCACCTCTGCCCCTGCCGCCGCCCCCCCACCCCGCCGCCGCTGCCGTTTCTGCCCCCGCCACCGCCGCTTCTGCCCCCGCCGCCGCTGCTGCCACCGCTGCTTCTGCCCCTGCCGCCGCCGCTTCTGCCCCCGCCCCCCCACCCCACTGCCGCCGCCACTTCTGCCCCCGCTGCCGCCCTCCCACCCCGCCCCCACTGCTGCCACCCCCCTCACCCCGCAAAATTTGGCCGGAAAATTAATAAAAAATAAATAATTTTTAATAAATAATTAATAATAAATAATAAAAATAATTTATAATTTATTATATAATTTTATAATATAATTATTTTATAATAATTTATTATATGTGTGGCCCAAACCAAATTTTCATCTTCTAATGTGGCCCAGGGAAGGTGAAAGGTTGGACACCCCTGCTCTAAACAAATGCAGTGTTTTTTATATACAATTTTTATTGAAGAAATATTTTTGCAGGATTAAAAACTAAGGAAACATAAAGCTAGGACATATTTTTTAAAAAAAAATCATGAAAAAAATAGAAGAAAATATTTAAAGAAGTAATTTTTGATCTTCCTTGCAGCAGGACAAATGCAATTACATTAATTGCCAGGAAATGTTTTAAAACTACTATTACTAAAATCACTTTGGATTTGTCTTTTTCTTGGGATGCATATCTCTCTGGTGTAATGGTGTTGAGGAAGTCTTTAAGAACCTAGTTATTTTCCCAGGATCCTGAATAGGGAGCTCTACAGCCCTTGGGGTTTTGTGTTTTGTACTTAGTATCTCCACATATATGCAGTCTCTTTATGTTTTTTATTCTCAGTAATGTAAATCACCTAGAATTGGTCTCTAGCTGGGCAGCCTTATAATTATACTAACACTATATCAATAATTTACATCTACATCTCTCAGACCTGGGGCATTGTTCATGACTATGCATGAACAATGGTCAGTGCTATTTTGCCACTGGATAAGGATTAACAGAATTTAAGAGTGGTTGGACATAGGCTACTTGTAGGAACATAACTGCTCCAGGCTGATTCCCTTTTTGATTCTAAACAATGAATTAATTAACAATAACTCTTATTCTTCTCATAGTTTTCTAAGAGTTTGTTCTTTTTTTAAGAATATTTCTAGCTTCCTCCTTAGACACTATTAGAGAGCAGAAGTGTCTTCAGAGTCTGATGGTTTTATCCAAGTGACAAAGTAAACATGACAACAGAGCATTGCTACCAATGTCATGATGCATGTACAATAGGGGGACAACTGATGTCATAATAATGTCAATGTTCCAAAGAAACTCCTCATCTCCATTCACCACTCAGAGACAAAGTCCATCCAAGTAAGAATTTATTTAAAAAGTCATGTTGGCACATCTGGGAAAACCTGAATCTGAAACTTCCAGGTTTTCCCTTCCCCAAGTGAAATTCAAAGATCCATCCCCTGCACCCATCAGTCCATCACATGGCCCACTCAAACATCTCTGAAACAGAAACCACTTCTTCGTTCAACCCCCTCCAGGTGCAGGATGACCCATCCTTGGCTTTTGATAAGAAGTTGTTTAATCTAAATTACTACTCACTAAGAATTCCCCCCTCCCAAATTTCCAGGCACTATCTGTGGCAGCCTCCAAGCTTCTACAAAACTTTTATGGTTAATAAAATATGGCCTTCCATAGCTGACAAATAATAAGATGCTCTTATTATGATTTGTCCTTCTTTTACCCCAACCCATCAGAGAACATTTTTAATAGAAAACTGTATTGGCCTTTTGGTTTATTCTTACTTACATTCTTTTTGAGCATTAATTTTTATCATTTGACATCACTTTGAAGTATTATGATGAGATTTGTCCTTCTTGACCATTAAGTCTTTTTCTCATACTTCCTTCTTTAGTTGTCCTGTGTGTTTCCCCACAGACTTCTTTTAAAATAATCAATCAATGAATGGTTTCCCTCATTCCATACCTTTCTCCTTCTACCATGAATTTTTTTTAGTCAGCTGCATTATTTCCCATAATAATGATAATTCTCTTGTATATCAGAATATATTCTGAACAAATGCTGCTTTTGGGGATGGGGGTAACTGAATCAATAAAATATATAACAAATGAAAAAAATATACAAATAAGTTAATAACTCTAGAACAATATACTGATGTAGGCTTTTATAGAACATTGTCTGTTAATTTTCAAAATTGATTTGCTGCTGCTGACTTATGGTTCTCTCTCATTTCTAAATCTGCAATCCTTGTTTCTTTTAAATAAATATCTATAGGGGTCCCCTTGGTCCAGTATAAAATATCAGGAAATTTTTGAAGAGTCTGAAGAGTTCTGAAGAAGATATTGAAATAATGGTGGTTGGATGGTGTGCAAGCAATTCTCCTGAGATACAAATATTTTGATTGAATATATGATCTAGAAAAAAATAACTGTTTAACCTGTTGATCTGTATATTAAAACTCTATAATAGCAATTGGCAATTGGAAATTATTATACTCCTTTACTGTATCAAACTGGGATTAAATACTAATTAGAAAAAATTGACCAAACTGAGATTAATAACATGACAAATGTGTAATTTCCATGTGACTAGATGGGTCCAGATATTACCCTGAATACTGCAAGTGCTTCACACTATTTTTGTTTAACTTTGATTGAGTTGGACACAATTTTATAAAATTTGAGATAATGAATATCTCAGAGTTCTGTAGGAGAAAATGATCATTCTTATGTGAATAGAATTTTCTAAGTGCACAGAGGGGCATTTCTACTTTTCAAGACTAGAAAATGAGAACAAAAATTATTTAGATGATTATTAATATTAATAGGTTTATCCATTCAGTTATTGTCACAAACAAGCTAACGTTCATGAGAATGCTGGCATTCCAGGTCATTCATTGTAATATGAATGTGTACAACTAGAGATAGCATAAAACCCTTAAAAATCAAATGTAAATGATGTTTGGGAAAGGCAGACACAGAAAGAAAACACTTGTCCATAAACTTTTCAGAAATTACTCTTTACATAAAAACTGGATCCATTTTGGATGTCACATGAGATACTTTGAAAGCACTGCCAAGTCAAAACTATGGAAGTTTCCATAGGAACCTCTGGAGGATTCTGATCCTGGTTGATTTGCTATCCCAGCCCAGTAAATGTTCAGCCTATTCAAAATATTATGATAACATTTTGCTTCTTTCATTATATAAAGTTCCGCTTGTTTAGAGATCATAGCAGCTGATTCCAGGCCCAAATAGGCTTTCCCATGTCTCTACCAAATGTATTGGGAATGGAAATTATATAGATGATATCCCAGGTTTTCTCTAGGGAGAAGAGATATTCACCAATAATTTCTTCAGCAAGCTATTAAAAATATTTTACATGAGAAACCCATATTTCTGTTAAGATGTAATTTTTTGTCTGTCTGTCTATCTATCTATCTATCTATCTATCTATCTATCTATCTATCTATCT